TAGTTTCTCCCACCTCAGCGAAAACCCCGGCCGCCCAGAGGGTTAAAGCCAGTCGGGGCTGGTTTGGCAACTTTAGGAAAAGGACTGGCATTCACTCCGTCGTCAGGCATGGTGAGGCAGCAAGTTCGGATGTGAAGGCAACTGAGGTTTACATCAAAACGTTTTCTGAACTGATAGGAAGCCAAAGGATACATCCCCCAGCAAGTCTTCAACTGTGACGAGACAGGGCTTTTCTGGAAAAGGATGCCGAATAGGTCTTACATAACGGCAGAGGAGACAACCCATGAAGGATCGATTAACTCCAATCACAAACCCATGAAGGATAGATTAACTCTAGCACTTTGCGCCAATGCGAGTGGCGACTGCAAAATCAAGCCTCTGCTAGTATACCATTTGGAAAATCCCAGAGCCTTTAAGTCACATAAGATTTTAAAAGAAAAACTGCCAGTTATGTGGAGGGCAAATCCAAAGGTGTGGGTCACCAGGAAATTCTCTGTGGAGTGGATAAACCTGGTATACAATAGTGTTTGTACAATATTGGTAGTAGTACTATAAACAACTGGAACAGATTAATGGCATTTCAAATTAATTTCAATGGGGAAAATTGTTTTGAGATACGAGCAATTTGACATGTGAGCCAGGTTACGGAACCAATTAAACTCGTATGTCGAGGTACCACTGTATTAGAACTCAATGCAGAAGTTCTACAATACTTCATGAAAGCATATTTTTTTAGCATCTAACCGCATTTTAAAAATTAATTTAAATATTAACATTAGTAAATGTATTAATTTAAAAATAATTTTATAGACCTTTTTTAGATTTAAAATACCATTATTAACCCATAAGTAAATGGAAAGAAACTGTAAAGCTACTATAAACACTTTTTTATAATTCTCAGAAACTACAAATAATTCTTAAACTTGGAAGAAAAGAATAAATTAAAGATACAAAAAAATTTGCATTTTTAATATTTAATTGGGAAACCTTTGTTTTTTTGGTAACTAGTGTACATCACTTGGGCATAGTACTCTCAAGTTTGCCAAGGTCATTTATTGGAATTAGATGATACCAGCATGAAATTATATCTTCTTCCATATCTTCACTTAATTCTGCTGCATTGCTTGGATTATGTAAATTAAGTCTTTTGGTAATAAGTATATCTTTGTGTATTATCCAATATTTTTAATTGGATTTAGATCTTGCAATTGGGTACGCTACTGCAATTTTCAAACTGATTTAGAAGAAAATCTGGTTGCCATTCAAACTGAATGGCTTGCTGCATTATCACTCTGTAAAATGTAAATATTTTTCAAAACAACCAGTGGGCCCTCTTACATCTGCCTTTGATGGGGAAATCAAAGCTATTGCTGTGGCTATTTAAAAACTGTCGATTCGTAGCCACTCTTTGTAAAGGCAGTCAGATTTCAAAAGTGCACTTCTTCTGAATAATTAAAATAGTTCCCAAAGAGTTTTATACTGTAGGCTTTTGCTTAAGGCAATGGCACACATAATTTGTTTCCAATGGATTCAAGCCCGTTGTGGAATTATGGGAAATGAAAAGCTGATACATTGGCTAAGAAAGGAACTTTGATAATGCAATGCATTGATAAACTGCTTTCTTTTCATATGTCTAAACTGTTTGTTAACCTGACTTTTAAGAAATGCAGGATATGATTCAACTGCTATGGATAAGAGTTGGAGGATTTTGGGGGAAGAGACAACTTTCATTCCCAGTTTTTCAAGAAAGACAGCGCTAGCTATATTTAAATGTCTGACTGGACATCAATGTTTGCAAGACCACCTCTACAGAATTGAAGTGGTGGATTCTCCAAACTGTATTTTGTGTGACTCCAATCTGCATATAATTTTTTTATCTTTTATATAATTGTATTGTGCTTTATTAGTATGAGGACATTGTTAAAATGTACTGCAGAGCCAGTTAACTAATAATGGCTTAAGCACTAATGTTGGCATTTGTAAAATAAATACATTTCTTTCAAAACATGTTAATAGCTGAAGGAATTTTTCTTTAAAGGTTATTTATGTATTGAGGTGCATTCATTTTTTCTTCTATGATGTGATAACAGCCTACTCTGTGTGCTGACATACAATTCTGTATCAGAACTACAGCAGGATGCTTTACTGTGATTATATTACTACATAGTTTAACTACAGCAGGATACTTTACTGTGGTTATATACAGTTTAAATCTTTTGTTATGATGACATCATACAAGTATGGCTTCTTCATTAGCATCAAAGAAAATGTCATTTCATCACTCCACTGATTCACCATCCATCCTATATGATTAGATGTCTATTATAATTACTTAAGCCACTACTTTTCATTAATGAAAGGTTTCTTGACAGACACTTCCATTCAGTCTCCAGTATACAGATCACCTGGGAACATTCACTGAACAGCCTACCTGCTACATACACCTTAATTTTTAGTAGCTGTTAAAACTACCTTTTAAAGAAATGAAATAAGATTTTGGTAATTTTGTGGACACTTTAGAAGAACTAAATATATTTATCAATGAACTGAAAGAAACTATATCAGCTGCTGAATAATATGATGAGCCGCTGAATAATTATAATGAGCCGAAAGATGAAACTTAAAATGCTTACAATGAAGACTTCAATAAGATGCATCATTTCTCAGTTTAAAATGGAATTTATCAGGTGACACATTGTGCTTGACTTTAAAGAGAGTTCTGTAAAACAGCCTATCAGGGGAAAAAAAAAAAAAAAAAAAAAAAAACCAGCAGTATAGATTTTTGACTCCACTGGTTTGACTCTGACTCCAAAAGTAATGCTAGAAACCAAAGATATCATAGGATATCAATTTATTGAAAAGCATATCAGACAAATTTGAAAACTAGAAAATCAAATTACATAATTTCGAAGAAATAGCTATATCCAGAATTATGTTTGCTATTTTTAAAAATATCTCTATTATTGTCTTGGCACGTTTTATAATGTGAGCAAGTTTGCCTATGTTACATGCATATTTGTGCAGAGCTGCAACAAAAATTTAGTTACATGTCAACCTATATCAACCTGATCCAGAGAAGCATCTGTAAATACAATCTCCATACTGCAACTGCAGCTGTTAACTTGTATGAGTGGCGCGCCATGTTAAGCGAGAGTTGAGAGCAGAAATTTACCAACTTACTATTATTGGACTGATTCTATAGACACACTATTTTGGAACCGAAAGGAGGAAAACTAGGCCATTTTCATGTCCAACAGAGTGAAAGAAATCCATACATTAAATGCTCCAAATGACTAGAATTCTACTTCTGGACTACAAAATCCAGCTGCCCTCCCTTCTTGAGGATGCAGTCTAGAAACCTTGGTCAAATCATAACAGTAAGAGGTTCCCCGCTGATTAAGAAATGTCCCAGAACAATGGCCTAGCATAGAAACTGTGCCATATTATGATAAAATAAATACTGAAGAGGAGAAAACGATAAGTTATGCTGTTAATTTGAATGTTTCAACGAAGGCTAATTTTGATAAAATTTCTTTTTACGATACCATTTTAAGGTAATATCTTAGATCTTCCATTACATGTACTTTAGCCAGTGATTGACTCTAATAGATTCCTTCAAGTTAAAACTAGAATTGTGAGAAAAGATGATGCAGTAAATTTTAGATTTTCCATTATTCATCTTATTGTAATAAAATTAATATGAGCTAAATGTGAAATGACAAGTCATGCAGGAATATTGGATCATGCAAACACAAAAGACTGCCAAGTAAGTCGTATGAAGCTATAATATACTTTTCTCCAGTCTTTCCTGTCTGTGCTCATTTTCTGAATTTTTAGTTAAATTCGTCTTATTATTGGATCTTTTAACTGTCAAATGACGAAAGCCAGACTTTATCATAATTTAATGGTAAGATAATTCTTCATTATGCAGTGCATTAATTTTAACACCCATAATTACTTTGTTTGCAAACAAACATTCTTTAAATATCATAAAACAAATTCAAAATTATAGCATAGAGTTTTTAACGTAAAAACTTTTAAAGCAAGCAATATTCATTCTATCATAAGAATTATATCATCAGAAAAAGTTATAAGTGATTGAAAAAGCAATTTTTTCCCCCTTGGTTAATTGTGTTTTTTCTGAGCCGTTTTTCTTTTATAACTTCAGATAATGCTGTTATTTTAAAATGGTTTTGAGTCCTTTATAAAATTATGATTAAATGGTGCATTTTATTAAATTTGGTATTCAATTTAATTTTGAAAACATGATTTTACACTCAAAATATATATATTTTCAAGAGGTACTGCAAAACGTTTGCACTAAATTATATTTACATCTAGAATTTATTTGCTTTATATAATATAAATTCCCTAATATATGCAATATATATTTAAGGTATTATAATACTGCTTATATATAATTAAAAGTTAAAATTTACTTTGATGGCATTTATGCATACAATTCTGCAGCAAAGTAGTGTATTTTAACATCTAGTGGCTATAAGTTTGGGAAATATTCTGTGAAAAGTTCATTTTGTACTAACTTGTGACCAAAGAAGCAGATACTGAGCACATGAAGATAAAAATATTCGGTTAACTATGAAAAATTTAAGAATTTTTGGTCGTGTATTTCTGCAATATACGTGCACCTGATGTAGTATTAAATGGCAGTCAATAAGAATCACAGGTGAAATAAATGGGTATTTTGATTGCATTTTTAGAACGTCACATTATTCACTGTTAGCCACAATAACATCATGAAGTAGTTTTCTGTTCTTGTTTAATATCACAAATGAAATAAAGCATATGATCAAATTGCTGCAGGTGGTAACTTAAGTATGATTTTCATTAGAAGTGGCACACATCATCGTTACTTAAGTAATAATGCAAGGGATTCATGTAGAATTATAATAAATGTGCATAACTTTAATGCATTTGTAATGTATATTCTGAAGCACAGTGATCCATAAAACAAAACTAATATAATTCTTTTAATGCAGATGAAAAGAAGTCCTAATAGCAACTGAAGTTAGTGAGAAGCTGAGAAGAGATGAGATTTGAGTTGTATAAAGTATGTTTATGTGTTTCGAATAAAATATGTGTTGTTTATTTAGCTGTCATTTATCCATGTTGAGTTGCAGTTGAAAGTGTTCATTAAACAAACTTTTAAATAAAATAAAAATTACAGAATACTAGTTTGGGTAAATAATTGCGCAGAGTCTGTAACCAGTGAACAATATTTTTATATATTTTTTTAAAATTAAGCAAATAATTATCATACAATATATTTTAGTAAAAATAGAATGAAATAAATCTCTTTATAGAAATAAAAAAATAAGAATAAACATTCTCTATAGTGAATATATCAATATTCAATACAAAGACAAAACTGATCCCAAATCTGTAACATTCAATCAGAAACTAAATCAGATTTTTCTCCTTTATTACATCAAATGATCGATATAATTGAGCAATTTTTAAAAATTCAGAAAATTTTAATTTTCATAGAAGTTTCATAAGTTTTTTTTTTCACACTTCAGTTTGATGATGCAAACACTAAAATTCTCATATTTTTAGTTTGTTCATTAAATGAAGATTTGTACAAAAAAATTGTTGAAACATTAAATAAAAACTAACCAAATGAAATTTTAAAAAAAAAATGAATTGGAAGTTGATCTGTCAGCACTATCCTTATATTCAGGGCAGATGTTTTTATTTTATTTGGCTTATAATTACTTACTAAATTTAGTATTTCATCTCGATGTACTCTGTCTTTAAATCAAATTCCTCATCATTATAATTCGCTTCCGACAGTGAAGAAAGTGACACAGAGGTTATTGAAAACGAAAAAATCTCGATTGACAAATTAGTCGGTATTCTCGACACCTCAAAGTTAAAAACTTTCTGCGCATGCGCCGCATTGACACGTGCGCATAGGCGTTTACGCGTAAGACCTTTACGACTGCGCATATGTATGTGCGCAAGCGCAGAATACGTTTTTGCGAGCGCGTTTAATGTATAACGGATGGTATAAACTAAAATTATCTAATTATCTATTTCAGTTAATGTTGATGATTGCGTTGTTCCTTAATCTTCAAATTGGATGCGGCTTATTATTTTTTGCAGACTGTAAGAGCAATTTTATAAAAGTAAACTTGAACTTTCGATTATGTCAAATAGAATTTACGGTGCTGGAGCTCCCAAAGGATCTACAAAACGAAAATGTTTCGATGTCCATCAAACAAAAAGTGGAATTGCTGCAAAAAATGGATAAAGACATGAAGAAGGTGACAGAGAGGTTAGTGAAAACGAGAAAATTTCGATTGACAAGTTAGTCGGTATTTTCGGCACAGCAATTACGGGACTTGAACAGCGGAACTTTGTAACTGAACAAGAAATTATATCTGTTTAATAGAATTAAAGAGAAAGTATTATCACATGAAACGAAGCAATTTAAACAACTTACATTGAAAGAAATGTTTAATAAAGTAAACAAATAATATTAAAGCTTTTTTTTTGTAAATTTTGATACCCTTTAGATCATAATTGTTCTTTATTTCATAAATTACGGTTTCATATTTTTAATTTTATAATTTCTGCATGCCATCTTACCAGATTTAAACTGATGATCTATAATCCGGAATCGCCGAAGTCCCGAGGACCGGATTAATGACTTTTGACTGTACAGACTTGTGTGTTTCTTACTATAACTTTCAGCTGAAACAACTGATGCTTTACTTTAATACAGTTTGTGACTTGAAGAAAATTACTAGAAACTAAAAATGTTTGCATATAAATGTACTCCCAAAGTGATCATTCTTATTGCAAAAATTTGTAATTGACGGTATTTATCCTTTAATAAGTACGGCTTCCACCCCTTCCCCAAAACAATCTGAATTTGTATTTTTAGATCTTTAAATATTATTTATATCAAGGTCTAAATTAATCACCTTCTGTAAATTTTCTGAAGCATAACTCATGTTCGTTTTAGATAATGAAAATATTAGTTGGACTCAAAATCATTAAAATCTTAAACCTTTCTTCAAATCCTGATCATAATAATTAATTGTTTTGGGGGTCACCAGTTTGAGATTACTTCTGGCAATATTTAAGTGGTCTTCCACTTTGTATAGAACTTCATTCAAACTTTATATTTTGAATATCTAATGTTAAAATTTTAAAATGTATAGAGAAACATCTTATTTCCAAAAATAACAAAAGAAAATCTGTATTTGGGCATGATTCAGTGGAAAATGCTACAAGAAAGATTGATGTATAATTTCAAACAATACAACATAGTATTTGAAATCTGAGTTAGATTTTTGGAGTTGTTAAGGTAAAAAGAATCATAATATTCATATATTTGCAGGACTAGTTTCGAAGATTTACATTTAGAACCTTCTTCAGCTGCACAAGTGCAAATGACCTTTGAAACTAACTTTGACCTAAATTTAAACCTTCAAAAATACTGCTGCAAATTTATGAATTGCTGTTCCCTAAGCACCTCCAATAAAAATATTTGAAATATCAAATATACTTTACAAAGCATACTGGATATGAACTATGGATGGTAGAAAAGTTTCATATTCTGAAATATGAACCACAGAAGCTACATGCAAAAAAGATGCAGACTAAATAATTAATAATTGAATTTTAATAAATTTTAAGATAATAAAATTGAAAATTCTTATTTTTATGAAAATTTTAAAACAGTGAATCAATGATTTTTTAAACTGGAAGTACCTGCTCTACTGATTTAGGCGAAAGACTTTAACATATTTAATTTTTTAATATATTTTCATCAACTTGACTTATAACATAATTCCCATGCAAGACAGGCCATTCACAGACTTGAGTTGAAACACTCAATTCAATTAGAAATTTATTCAACAGTTTTACTACTCGGCTACTGGTGGGCCTAATACAGTATATTATTGCATTGAGCATTCATCAATGCTAAATTTCATCATGAAATTAAGATTTTAATGTGCATCATATAAAATCCTTATCAATAATGCTTTTGATTCTTTGTTATGTTTAGATCCCGAAATTAAAATCATTAGTTAGAATTTTTTTGCATTCATAAATTTTTCTTTTAATTGCAGAAGACAGTAATTTTATTGTTAGATATTTTGATTAATGTTTTACTTTAGAAATTCTACAACATTTAATTACACTGAAGTTTGCAAAACTTTAAGCAACATTATCAGATCTGTATACTTACTGGAAGAGGGAGAGGGGGAGATGTTTGAATGGTAAGATAACAGAATAGAAACTTTATGACAAGCGAGTTTTAAATTTTAGAAATGGATACCAAACAATCTTGATATCTATATATTCATGTAAATAATACTTTCAAACTACAAATTTAATTGATTTTTCCCAGATTTAAATTGTTTCTACTTTTAAATCTTAAGATTTCAGACTTGTTATTTTTTAATATCTTTTAAATTCACTATAATATAATTTTAAGGATGGTTTATTGGATAAAAGAAATTAAATTTTGCATATATGTAAACCACTGATTCATAATCTTTTATGGCACAACAGTTTACATTTTCTGTATTTTCTCATTATATGTAGTATAACTCCACTTCCACATTCATGTTTTCCTGCAATTTGTAAGATTTTTTCATTGTAGATTTTTTTCATCACTTTTTTTAGTCTCTTCAATTCCCTTACATTCACAATGCATTTATGGATGGGGGGGGGAACTAACCTGCCAGTTGTTTTTAGATCAAGCATTCAGCCTGGCATAGATTTTTTTACCATTAATGATGATGCATTAACCTTGATGTTTCATGCTATTAAATATGGAAGCAAAAGAAATTCAGAATACTGTGATGTTGTATTTAACTAAAAGCATTTCTGCTCATTCTGCATCACTTTTGTTTTTCGTGAATAAAAGTCAATGTAATATTAATTATCTATTTCCGAAATTAATATACAATGCACATGAAATTAAAAAAGAATTTTTTATTTACAATGAATACATAAAAACTGGATGCAATTGTTTTTAATCGGAAACAATGTACAGAAGAGCATGTAGTTAGTTCAAACCTGCAAAAATAATCTGTTATCCATTAAAACTGAATAAGTACAATATAGTAATATAAAATACTTTATTTTTAATTTACAGAGTATTATCTATTTTCATTTCAAGGTAAAATTTACTGCTAAATAATGATTATAATAGCATTAAAAGGATGCACTTACCTAAATAATCATCCATTAAAGTTCCAATAGCAAACTAGGGAGGAAAAAAATATATGTATAAAACAACAGAAATTCCCCCTTCCCCATTTAAAAATGATCTACATAATTATAAATATGCATTAACATAAAAAATTATCATAAAAATGTTATGGCAACTGCAAAAGAAATGTAAATTCCTCAATTAAGTTCGCAAGGTGTTAAAATATTAAATTTTTAATAAAGGAATAAATATTTTACCCAAAAATTCTCAATAAAAAGTTGAAAAACAAAAAGTATTGTAATACACATCACTTAATTTGATTATGTTTCTCTACAGCTATTCTGATAACGTTAAACAATAAGAAGAAATTCCTTCAAAAGAGCAACAGAATTTAACTAATTTAATATAAAAGTTTTAAGAACATGCATATATTTTCACAGCATTTTAATTAGGAAAATATGAAGCTGTTTATGAACTGTTCATAACCTTTCTGGAAATCATTGGACCAATGCTATCTCCCTAATCTTAATATTCTGAAGGTGTCACACATTCAAACAAAATATGCCACTATAAAATTTTAAATTTAACAAAAAGCAGAATTTGTCATAGATGTCTTCAGATAACTGAAGAAAGTTTCATTGCCCTCAAAACTGATAGTTATTCAAAATATACGGGCTTCTTTTGCCGTGTTTTAAATGGCTGACTGAAATCAAAACCAAGCCTATATGGCTACTTAATTCTGCACTTAATGATGTTTCTTTGTCACTTGACAATTTGTATTACATATTTTGACTTTGTGAGAATTTATTTGGTAACTTCAGTTTAAAAATTTATTTTATAATTGTTTGACCATATGAACCGAACTCATCACAACAAGTGTATTTTCCATGTTTTCATACACAAACGGACAAGACTTCAGAAAATTGATAATATCTAGATTATAACATATATATAAATTAAAGTAAATTATAATTCTAAGGAATTTGTAATTATTTTGAAATAGAAAAACTAATATAATCCTAAACTGTCTATTAAAATTTTTAGTAGCCTTTGACTGAAAATGACAGAAACTTCAAATCAAAACTTTTTTAAATACGCAAATAAAAAGTAAAGAAGAATTTAAACATATTGGTTAGTATTTGTTATATATATATATTCCTTACCACTTCATACATATATATATATATATATATATATATATATATATATATATAGTATCCAAACTTTAATTTAGTTTAAAATGATGCATGAGATTGCAAGTAAGTAGTTAAATCACATGTGACTTTTTTAGTGTCCCTGGGAACATACTTTTATAGGTCAACAGTAAAAAACCCATCAGAATGTGAAGCAAATGAGGAAATCTGGTGACCTAATAATGCAAGAGTGGAACAGTAAATAACAGATAAATAAATTCTTTGATAATAAAATTGTTTATTATGTACTGCCTTATGCCTAACTGTGGAGAAGGGCAGTAAGTCTGTCTCCTGCCTGCTCAACAGTCATTCACTTATGCATTTTTAAAAAAATAATTTGCTGAATTGGTGAATTTATTTCCATGGTTTGGTTTTGCACTTGATTTACTTATGCTATCTGAATTTAAATGATATTGTAGATTAGTTCGAAAATTAAATCTTTTATATGTTTGCACATTTTTTAAGTATTTTAACTTTAAATTTGCTTTTTTACGTCTATACTTGTTTATTAAAATTTAAATTTGTTTATATATATATATACACACACACAGAGGGAGGGACAGAAATAATCAGGAGTTTTACACAAACTGAAGAGTCAAATATATGGAAATGTATATAATTAAAAAGGAAACACCAGTTTATAAAAAGTTTTCTGATGTTAACAGACTATGTGACAAGCATTGCTACACAGACTATCATGAAAAGTATAGACAAGGCCAACTTATACTCAAAGCTGTTTTCAGTGGCTTCCATGAAATTTCTATTGACCGCAAGAGGGCGCTACTATTCCGCTATGCTTTGCGACGTTAACATTGAGCAGAATGGAACCCCAGACAAATAATTGTCTTGTTATATGCAAAATTTAGAAACGATTAATCTGCAGTAGTCAGAAATTATACATTTATTTTTAATAAAAATATTTTTATTTAGAAAGAAAAGATGAAATTTCAAGTTACCCCTTTATTTTCGTATATAACTTCAGCTACTTGATTCTGATTTTCATTCCTGCTTGCATCTAGATATAGATTCTGATTTTCATTCCTGCTTGCAGCTAGATATACGCTATTTTTAACTGTTCTTATTTGAGTTACCTTATTATTATTTTAGTCCTTATTCTAATTTAAGGGTAAGTTAGAGCACATGTTGTACTTTTAAATTATTTATATACTACGAAATTAGCAGGTAGCTTCAGAACATACACTATTTCAGCGCAAAATTTTCATCGTATTAATATCAGCTGTCCTGTACAATAAAAAAATTTGGAGCCACTATTAAATAATTAAGAAATTAATAAATGATGATCTAAAATTTGTTAATATATAAGAGAAAAAGTATTTCTAAAAGAGATTTGGTTTTAGGTACTGAAGATTTTTTCTCTTTTTTTAATTAATATAAAATACTTTTTTTAGGAAATATTAAAAAAGTAAAATTTTAAATAATGCGGATTTAGAGCTCTGAAGAGTAAACACAGCACTACAGATATTCAAAATAATGCCAAGTATTTCAATATTACCTACAGCTTATAATAATGACATACATGACATTAATTACGATGAATCTTATATAAAATTTTAAGCCTGTTAGTGATGAATACCAAGTATTTCAATATTACCTACAGCATATAATAATAACATGTATGACATTAATCACAGTGAATCATATACTCCCTGTCCAAAATTAGTTGCTACATTTGAGTACTGATTATTGATACTGAAAATTTTATGATTCTGTTTGCACATTTTCCAGAATTTTCAGGGTGCTACGTAATCAATCAACAACAACTTTACTTACCAAGCATTCCCTCCTTAAATCAGTACCAAATTAGTTTAAAAAATCCAGCTTTCGCACACCCTTAAGCCACGCCCCATTTTGTAAGGACTCATCCATCAGTAATCGGCTAATCTTCAGGCTAATTAAATGTAAATTCAATGATCTGCCTCGTCTATACGAGCTAGTTTGCCTCAGAAATTTTCCACGAAGGCATCCTTCACCTTAGGCAGACAGCCCTTGAGGTTTGCCTTAATCACATAAATATGATCTTTCTGAAACACGGGCGGTATAGTCCAAAATGGGGCGTGGCTTAACAGCATGTGAACCCTCTACATTTGCGTCTATAAAATTGTCCCAAAATAAGTGCTACATTTGTACAAAGTAAAAACTCGGAATGAAAATCTAGTATGCAGTGTCACATTCCTTGTAGCACATTGTATAATTTTACTGATGTTGATCTGCTAAACTGCATCGGAAGTTATTTCGACTCCACCTACTTGAAATGTAGCAAATAATTTGGGACAGAACTTTCGACCTAAGTGTAGCAACTAGTTGAGGAAGGAGGGAATATAATATTTTGAGACTGCTAGTGTTGAATACCAAGTATTTCAATATCATTGACTGCATATTTTAAAAAATAAAACCATATTTTCTAAAACAAAAAGTATTACCTCTGTTAATTATATATATATAAGGATACAACATGAATCTCTATCACTTCAAGTGCAACCACAAAACACTCAACCAAGTAGACACAAATTCATGCACAGTATATTGATACATCACACTAAGTAAAATGAGATATGTGCTTTAAAATTTTGAAGCTAGTACAGACAGCATTCAAATGTTTCTGGATGAAAGATAACAAATACGAGAGCTAAAAAGTAATAATAATATATATATATTCATACATACATATATATATTTAATGCAATTAAAATTTAAGAATGCATCCATGTATACATTTTATACGAAATGCTAATATATATATCATATATATATATTCGCATATATATATATGATAGGTTAAAATATCATTTATGCAGGAAACAGATTATCTCCAGTATGATAAAAAAATATGATATTTTTATTTCAGGAAGACGAAAAAATGACATGAAGCTGAACACACGTACACACATATATTCAGAAGCTTGTTTATATACAAAAGCTGAGGGAAAGAAACATATCAAGAGAATTTTATCTTTAAAATCAAGAGAAGCTTTAAAATTTTACGTGATGATCGCTTTTGTTTAAGAAATTTTGTATTATGTATTTGTATTAAATCTATATTACATGAAACTGATGGAAATCCTATCTGTCCAACAGTTATATGTTGGCAATAATACTATCATAAAAAATTTTTTAAAAGGGAAAAAACTTTGCAGTATAGCATGCAACAATATACCATCCTATGATACTATTAGTTATAGCGGCACATTTTAAAAAAAAAAATTTTTTTGTTAATAACAAGCCACATTACAAATAGAGAACATATAGCAAAAGTGTAGCAGAATGCGAGCGCCACCTAATGATGAATTTCAGGAAAGCCACTGAAAACTAGGAACCGGAATTTCATTCAGTCTGGCAGGCCTTGAGTATAAGTTGGCCTTGGTATAGATCAATGTAATTTTTCAAAAAACATCTTGGTTAGAGAATCATGTAGAATTCATGTTCTAGAAAATAGCAGTAGGCTATGTATTGACACATAACCAACTCATATTATTTGCTTGAATTAAAAATGAAAAGTCTAGGGTAATAATTTTTTTTTATTAATTGATTATGATTGTAAAATATAAAAAGGCACCAGAATATTAATAACATATTTTTACTAATATAAAGACTGTGGACAAAGTTATTTGTTAAATTAAAAAAATTCCAAACACAGACCTTTGCTTAATTTAAAACACTTTTGTAACTAGAAGTATATGTCTACGACCAATGGTTTTAAAACTAAAAGCTGCATAAGGACTTACTTTAGTGGTTCCATAAAGTTAGATACTTTTTTAAAAATTCTCACAAAATAAACAAATTGGTGTCATCAAAGTGCACTTCAAACCTAAATATTTATTATAAAGACACATATTTTAAAGCATAAATTTCACCAATTGGTAGCACTCTATAGTTTATATTATAAAATTGTGTAACTAGAAGTTTGTGTTGGACCTTTATCAGTAATAGTATAATGTAAATGCAAATGAATAGATGATGTATAATCTTATTTTCCTCATTGTATTTTTATAATTCATTCTCACTTTATATTATTACATTTTATACTATAATACTAAAAGTGAGGTAGGCGAAAATTTTAAGTAATATTTATAGCCAAAAAATCTATTTCTATGACAACTGTTTGTATACAAACTGAACTTTAATACTCCAATATGTTGATTTTATATAATAAAAAAAAAAAAAAAAAAAAAAAAAAAACCCCAAATTTTGGGGACATGTTATATTAGCGAAAATTATTCTCAAATTTTAATATAACCAGCAAGAAAAATTTAGTAACAAACAAGAATGCAGCAAAATCTATCCTCTACTTACAATATCTGTAGCATCAACTCGAGTACCAACTATTTTCAGCCTGATTTCATCATCTTGTTGAATTACTACTTCCTACAAAGAGAAAATAAAAATTTTAACTTTATAACTAGAATGCAGGAGTGTATCTTGTCTTCTTTTCATATATAATATAGTTATTATTAGTTATAACTATAAAAAGTTATACATTTATATATTAACACATAAATAAAATATAAGGTAAATAATAAAAATTTACACCTCACTGGTTTTGGGTTTTTTTACTGTTATAAAATCCATTAATATTTAATAAATATATGGTTTATGGAAAAATGGTACATTAATATTTAATAAACACATGGTTTATGGAAATAACAGTACATACCCGAGGCTTAAGATTTAATCAAAAGTCTAACGATTATTACTTTAATTTTAATAACATTAATATTTTGTAGAAATTCAAAGAAGGCCAGAAATAAAAAATGAACGAGACTTAAATATTCATTATACTATGATAATAAACGTTTTAAGTAAAAATCATTATGGTCAACATAATGTTACGAATTTGGTATTTAAAAAGCTAATGTTAGTTCAATTATAAATTAAATGGTTTTATTTCTCGCGCAGTGCAGCGCATGACGACTATTAAAAGAAAGCTAAGCCGGAAAATTGAAAATACAAGAGCGCGTGCATTAAATAAATAAATATCTCTTTTTGATTTCGAGAAAGTACTGGAAAATTCTAGCGCGTGATTTTAAAATTTTATAAAAGGAGGAAAACATCTGTTTGTAGTAGTTGCTTAGTTTGTTGTTGTTTAGAAAACTGCTCTTGTTGATTGTAGCGAATTCGCGGATTAGCTTTCTTTAGCTGTTTTGAATTACGTTCTATTGGACATTTGAGTAGTTAAAAGATAACTACTGTGAGATATTGTAATACTGCATGATAATTTGAGAAAATTTAAGCATTTTTGTTGCGATAATAATAAATTTTTGTTCATTTTTCATCAGACTCGTGCATTCATTTCATAACGAACTCGTACGCACGCAACAATTTTTGGTGTCAGGAGTGGGGTTTGAATGCCAATAACAAGAGCGACGGAAGAGCAATTAAGGCAGTTAATATCAGCCTTTGCCTCATTTAAAGAAGAAATGAAATTTTGCTAGGAATCTGTTAAGGACGAAATGAAAGCCGTTCAAGCTGGTCATGAAAAGATTGAAGCATGTCAAGAAGAAATGAAAAGAGAAATTACCTGCATAATAGAAAATAAATTTGAAGCTATGGAAGGCAGAATTGACACAGTTGAAAATAAAGTTGGACAAATTGAAGAAAAAGTTTCTTTCATAAAAGATCAAATTGAAGAAAGAGTTTCTTCGGTGAAAGAAAAAATAGAAAAAAAAGTTTCTTCCATAAAAGAACATATAAGAAGAGAGAGTTTCGGCTGTGGAGGAACGAATTGAAGGAAGAGTTTGTGCCGTCCAACACCAAATCGAACAACAAATTGATGAGAGAGTTTCTGCAGTTGCCAAAGAAGTGGATATTTTAAAGAAATTCGTAGCGACGGCAGGGAATAATAGTGATGGTTTTAAATTCTTACCGATGCCTGCTCGTCCATCTCTGAAGCTATCCACATATGATGGGAAGACATCCTGGCAAGTGTATAAAACACAATTTGCTATAGTGGCGGATGCGAATGGATGTGGTTCCCAAACTAAGGCCTGTCGTCTTGCCGCTTCTCTGAGAGCAGACGCTTCCCGAAAACCAGACTTGACTTCGAAGCTCTATCCGGCGCATTGGAGCTGCGCTTTGGCGAGAAATGTTTAACAGACTACAGCAGGCTTCAATTAAAATCCCATCAACAGAAGCCCACCGAATCACTCCAAGAAGTCGCCACGGATGTTGAAAGGCTGTCCCACCTCGCCTTTACGGAGTGCCCGAGAGAAACGAGGGACATTCTGTCGCTGCAATATTTCATCGATGGCATCCGGGATCCCGAAATACAGAAGGCTCTACAAATGGCAGATGTAAAGGATGTAAAAAGCACTCTGTTGTACGCCGTGAAATTGGAGGCAGCCCAGCAGGCAACTCTTAGAGATCGATACCCAGTCAGAGCTGTGCGAGTCCACGACCCAGGGGACCAATTGATGGCTCGTTTAGATGATTTATCCAGACAAGTCGATGCTTTGATACGGAGTAGCAGTGAGAACAAAGTGGCTGTAAGATGTTGGAGATGTGGTTCTGAAGGTCACCTACAATGGCATTGCAGAACACCCCAGGGCACGGATAATAAAACGGATGAGTTGACAAGACCAGTGAATGCTTTAAGACGGAATAGTGTTGAAACGAAACCGACCCTAAAGTGCTGGAATTGCGGTGTTGAAGGCCACCTACGAAGGAACTGCAGAACTCCCCAGAGCACGGAAAATAAGGATACGATTTAAACAGACAATTAAATGCCACGGGAAGGAAAAGGGCTGACAAGAAACCAAAGTGCTGGAACTATGGAGCTGAAGGCCACGTACGAAAGAATTACAGAACACCCCAGGGTACGAAAATTGAGACAATTTCTGAGCAATGACGCAGGAAACAAATTAATGACCATATCAAGGAACGGAGGTTGCCAGATAATGAAAAACCCTGTTTTAAAGCACTTAAGATCTCTATAGTGAGTGGCAACAATAACGGACTGTCCATCAATGGGAATATCGATGGAGTTCCTTGTAATATGATCATTGACACAGGAGCTAATGTTACCATCATTAGGAAAGATTTAGCTGAACAGTTTAAAGATAAACTTATTTGGACGCCATCCTGTGTTACCCTTCAGACTGCGTCTGGTGATAAGATCGACATAACTGGGAAGTTAAACGTAAGCATCACGTTTGGAAGTGCCGCCTACCATCACACGGCATATGTGGCGGATATCACAGATCCATGCATACTCGGATTGGACTTTTTAAGGAAATACAATTTTTCCTTAGACTTGAAAAACAATAAACTGCTTTCAGGATCTGATGGCATGACTATCCATCCTCAAAAAAGGATCCTCGCCTGGAAATGCCGAAGCCTTGTCCGAAAGATCCAGCTCGGGAAGCTGCCGAAATCATACTAGGGTCGAAAAGAAACGCAAGACTATCAGCTCTTCTCCAGCCCAGATGCTCTTCGGTCGAGACCTTCGTCTGCCTTCTGACCGCCTGTTTGATCGCCGTACGGATGCGCCTTCATCGCCTGAGGAACACATCCAATATGTCCAGGCCCGTTTTGAAGTGACGCCCCGTTTTGCACGAAAGCAAGTGAACTTGGCGACGGAGAAAGTGAAGACCAGATGCAACACGAGAGCTACTGGACATAGATCCAACAAAGGAGACAAGGTGAGGTTGTGGAACCCGATTCAACGAAAAGGACTCAGACCTAAACTACAGTCACCTTCGGATCGTCCATGTACAGTGCGTAACAGACTGAATGACGTCTCCGTAAGTCTTCAAACTCTAAACCTAAAGTCGGTCATTACGACAGGTTAGCTCATTACTATGGCCATAGTACATAATGTAAATAATTGTAAATAGTATAAAACCATGGTCTTTTTTTGTTTTTAAATGTGTATTTGATTTGATTTGTATTTAGTATTTGATAGCATTTGATTTGTTTAAGTTAGTTATTGCATTTATTGTTCATGTTTGTTTGATATTGTAATGTAATGTTTATGCCTCAGTTGCATTTATGCCACAGTTGTAAGTTTAGCTTCCTGTCCAGGGATTGTACTGCCCGGGACATGCAGTCCTTGGAAAGGGGGCAATGTTACGAATTTGGTATTTAAAAAGCTAATGTTAGTTCAATTATAAATTAAATGGTTTTATTTCTCGCGCAGTGCAGCACGTGACGAATATTAAAAGAAAGCTAAGCCGGAAAATTGAAAATACAAGAGCGCGTGCATTAAATAAATAAATACCTCTTTTTGATTTCGAGAAAGAACTGGAAAATTCTAGCGCGTGATTTTAAAATCTTATAAAAGGAGGAAAACATCTCAGTTTGTAGTAGTTGCTTAGTTTGTTGTTGTTTAGAAAACTGCTCTTGTTGATTGTAGCGAATTCACGGGTTAGCTTTCTTTAGCTGTTTTGAATTACGTTCTATTCGACATTTGAGTAGTTAAAAGATAACTACTGTGAGAATTTGTAATACTGCATGATAATTTGAGAAAATTTAAGCATTTTTGTTGTGAGAATAATAAATTTTTGTTCATTTTTCATTGGACTTGTGCATTCATTTCATAACGAACTCGTACGCACGCAACAATAATTAAAATGAAACAATTAATTTCACTTAAGCGAATGAAATGATAATCATTCTCTTCTCTATAGCTGTCAAGTTAGTGCATACATGCGAGGCAAAATTTACGGCTTCCAACTCGCAAAGTATTTATTCTTTTTCCCCCTACCACAATTTCTCAGACTGAAATGCACACACAAAGCAGCCCATAGTGAAATTTTCCAACGCTGACGCTGTCTAGTTAACAGCATACAAAGTCTTTTAGAAAGGGGATAAAGTTCTCGGGGAAAGAATATCTGTGCAGTATTTGGTATCTGTTACAATATTTTGTCATTGATATTAAGAATATGGTTATTTTATTTTTAGCCTAAGGAATTATTTGGTCATTACCAAACAACTGAAAAGAAGCAAGGGAAAAGTTCCATCTTTAATATAATTACTACTAACCAGCGAATTTTCTTGAATTATGTATTTTGCTCAAAGTTATAGAAAAGATATTCCTCATAGTCTTTTAATACAACACATTATTATATGGAATTATGAAAGACATAATAATTAAATCTTAAATCAAATGCTTGAAATTAATGCCAATCTTGAAACCGAAAAATCAACTTTAGCATTAAAAAAGAAGTTGTAAAAAATGTTTCTAAATTCAATGGTAAAAAATGAATATTCCCTCCTTGTAGCTATGATGGCATAGTGTGGGAGGAAAGGAGAAGAAGGAAGACATTCGCTTTGCATGCTGTAAATGTTTCGTGCTGCCAAACCAGTATAGTGGTTAGCGTTGCTAACTGAAGGTCCTGGGTTCGAATCCCGGAGAAGGCATAGATGTTTGTAAATGTATAAGTATTGGTGCAACATGGCGGCACTTGAAATATGTGGTGAGCTGAAAGTCCTCTGGTGTCGCTTGGTGGAAGCGAAGAAGGGTGGGAGACTCCTCGGACCCCTCCTTCCCCGGGGTGCTCTCCATCAAAATTGGGGGTGGAACTGAGCTAAATTGAACTGTCACCTGTATGGTGCTCAAGGCTGTTGCGAACAACACGCATATTTAGTACTTCTTGCCATGAGGAATTTCATGGGCTTGGGCTAACTACGTTAGACAAGTGAGCATAAGTAACAACACAACAAATATTTCGTTGACTTAAAGCTGATGTTTTTCAGCATGCACAATTCTTTTATGAGGAGGATTGAGTAAAAAGATGTAAGAATTGACAGTGCGCAATTCATTTCATTTTAAATATCTGATTCTAAAATCAACGATTCAGTCCATAGCTATTGATTAATAGTAGTTAATAAGCATTTTATTATCTGATTATTTTTTCCCTTTGGTTTGAAATTTAAAGACATGCACTGTATGCCTCAAAGCAATGTCCCTCCTAACATATAAATTTTAACCAAAAGGACAAATAAAAATTTTTAACTTATAGAAAATATATACATAAATTTTACGCTTAAAATGAAAATCATTAGTCTATTTCAACAGAGAACGATAACACAAAGTTGACAAATTACAATTTAATATAGTCCTAAAAATGTATAATTTTGATGACACATATATGATTAATTTTGTATTTTCATAACATACATTAAAGCATAGCTGCCAATCTTGAAATGTTAAAAACTGGAAGAAACCAGGAGGTTGTCATGCTGCGCAATGACACCATTTCAAAGGAACTCCAAACTGATTGATTCACTTTATAGCATACGGTTCATGTTACTGAAATATTTGTAATTCAACTCTGATGTAAAATAAATAGGATATTCTAAATTTCATAGTCTTTGGTCAATTCAATTTTTTAAATTTTCTTACACTTTTATTAAAATGAGAAAATCCTGAGTAGTGAGCTTTTATTTGTCAAAGTACTTTTAAATATGATAAAAATAATAATTAATACACATATATTTGTGTGGATAAACATAATAGTGCACCATATATTGAAGTAAAATTAAATTCAATACAGATATTACCTGATTTAACATTGCTTGAATCGTCACAAAATCTACAATTAAAACTTTAACAACATAACAGCTACATAATTCATGTGATTTCTTCACTTCCTTTTAAGGCAGCCTTAAGTTTCAACTTAGATTATAGGAATGAGAAAGAAAGAATTTCCAAATTCCAGTAATATGTATCTTCTACATTGCGCTACTTCATGTCTACAATAGATAACAACACAGATCTAATGAAATTTACTAAGGCAGAGATAAATAAAATATAATAAGAAAAAAAAAATTCATAAAAATTATTCTGAAAATCCTTAGAGGTGGGGGGAATGGAATTTCTCACTAATTCATGTTTCATTAATTCAATAAATTCCATTTATTGCTTAAACACACTTTCCTCATTAAAAGCTAAAAATTAAAAAAATGGCAGATTTGGTGATCTACCAAGAGATCTGCAAAAGAGTTGACAGATATGTTAAAGACAAGAGATATTCTTGTCATCTAGAATAACTCAAAAGATTAATAAACAGAATGCAGTTATATAGAATGCATACCTCATCTTCTGTCCTATAGCATGGTGGATTGGAGTTGGGGTCAAACTGCATGTCAGATGGAATAGACTAGGAAAATGCAATTAATAAATATCACAAACCAATTAATAAAGATACAAAATTATAAAATGGAAATATAAAAATATTCAGTCATTAATTATTATAATACACTACTAGTAAAGTTCTGAAACATGCAAATGAATTTTTTAAAATAACTTTTTAAATCAATATTAGAAATAAAAAAACAACGTCGGAAATCCTAAATGATCTAAACCTCTTGATCACCAGCAAAGGGGGAAGGAATTAGATTCCAAGAGTAGCATCTCGCTTTAGCATATGCTTAATGTTTCGAGCATGCACAGGAGAAATGTTTTATAATAAAGAATGTTGTAGAATTTTTAATTTCATTTTGGCAGTCCATGTTACAAAACACATGCATATTGAAGAAACAGAATTATTTATTAGCATTAATCTGCATGATCAATAATTTGGCTTCATAGTGGCTTTCTGCTTGGCATATATCTCAAACAGAAATATTTTACCAAAGTTTCATTACTGATTTTATACCTATTGAAACAAATATATCCCTGATACCAATCTGTCAAATCATTTTTTGCTTTCATTACTACATGACTATCAACTCATAGCAGTTTGAAAAATGACTCAAAACAATTTGTTTTAAGTATCAGTAACTGAATACCAATAGCAGGTAAGCTTTCACGTTGATATTAACCTTGGCCAGGATTAGACTTCAGCCAGCTGTGCTGCCAAATGTTAGATTACTGATGAAGTGAAATTTAAAAGAAATTTCTTCCCATATGCAAAAAATATATTTTATAAATCATATTCATAGATCAAAAGACTGCATTTAGTGCTATTTGAATTAAGAATAACTGATTTATTGTTTAAATTAGATTTAAGTATATGCAAAAATTTATCTTTTTGAGATTCAAATAAGCCTTAGCATGTATGGAGAAATAGACATAAGTAAAATAAATAACTAAACTAATAAAATTCAGGCTTAACTTCCTCAATATGTGATAAGAGCAAGAAAAAATTAGCAGAACAATGCATCTCTAGTCACCAATCTTGTAAACACCAACAGTGTACAGCGAACGCTAGCTAAACTTTAGAATGATAATTGAGAATTTGAAAATTTCCAATATCACAAACAAAAAGGAAAGTTTTCCAATTAATGAAATTTGTGGAAAAATGTGAAGTGATAATAATGATGCTATAATAGAAGACTTTCCATTGCAATGACAATGCCCCAATCATCAACCAACTAACAGACTGTGAATGTATGGTTACTGCTAACAATAGTGAAGAAAGTGAGAGAGAGGTTGCTCAGAGTGAAAAAGTTTTGATTGATGATTTAGTGGGGAAAACTTGACACGGCAATTGCAGGACTTGAACAATGAAAATTTGTAACTGAGTAAGAAATTTATGTCTACCTATAAAATTAAAGAGGAAGTATTAGCATACAAAATGAAGTAATTCAATTATATTGAAAAAATGTTTAATAAAGTAAATAAGGAAATGTTGTACTTTTTTTTTTGTAAGGGCACAAATGTCTTTTTATTTCATAAACAACTATTTCATATTTTAAATTTTATAATTTACACATCTCATTTTACTAGATTTGAAATGATGATCTACAATCTAGAATTCCTCATACGTCTAGATCTCAGATTTTGTACCATATAGCAAAATTTAGCAGCTGATAGTAAACTAGTTGAAGCAATCTGGCACTTTGATAATCAAGTGGATTCACTTAGGGACATAACATAATACAACAAATAATTTTTACCTTTTCTACTCAATAAAAGATTTGAAAAGTTCCACTAAATTTTAATTTTATGTTGTGCTGCTTATCTGTTAAAACATATTACAAAAATTTAATGTATAGGCAAAAGTGATTTTCAGAGCTATTGATTTTTCAACATGTTCCCATAGAACTGACCATAAATGCCTAAAATTGGATTTTATTCTAGTTTGTTGCAGGTGAAAAAAATAGGTTAGTTTTTCAAAAGATACTTATATTTTACATTTATTTTCATTTCCAAACAGTTTTTTTTTTTACCTGATTAACAAAAATATTTTAAAGCTATATTTATTAAAAATTTAAAAAAATTTGTTATAAAACAATAAAAATATTAATTTTGAAATACAGTAAGTCCGTAATCCGGACGTCCAGAATGATCTATAATCCAGACCTCAAAGCCACAAACTTTTTTTTCTATGCTTGACACATGCACGTAATGCGTTGATGCACACGTGTTTCCGATACGCATGCACGTTTAATGTGCGCTTCCAATATGCATGCGCATGTGTCACTTCTGATAGTGAAGAAAGTGACAGAGAGGTTATTAAAAGCAAAAAATTTCAATTGACAAGTTAGTCGGTATTCTCAACACAGCAATTACAGGACTTGAACAGTAGAACTTTGTAACTGAACAAGAAATTATGTCTGTTTATAGAATTAAAGAGAAAGTATTAGCACAAAAAATGAAGCAACTTAAAAAACTTACATTGAAAGAAATGTTTAATAAAGTAAACAAATAAACATTAAGCTTTTTTTTTTTTTTTTGTAAATTTTGATACCCTTTAGATCATAATTGCTCTTTATTTCATAAATTACAGTTTCATGTTTTTAATTGTATAATTTCTGCATGCCATCTTAACAGATTTAAATTGATGATCTATAATCCAGAATCGCCGAAGAGTCTGAATTACGGACTTTGTACTATACTATGTATTTCTGAATAAAAGACAAGACTACATTTTTCCTTTAAAGAATTTGACAGATAGGGCCATGTGAGTGGGTGCATTGTCATGGTGCTAAAGCCATCCATTACTCCACAACTGAAGCCTTTATTTTCCTAATTTTTTCCACGCATTTTAGTACTTCAATGTAGTAGTATTGATTAACAGTCTGACCACTGGGAACCCATCATGATGAACGTGCTGAGGGCCCAAAGTGACGCCCATCATGTTCATCATCTTCCACACTGTCCTTTTTCCCTGAAAACCACTTAAGCCATTCAAACACACGTGCATGAGACACAGTTTCATCTCCATAAGCCTCGGTTAACATTTGAAATGTTTCCTCCATGGCTGATTTTTGAAGTTTCACAAGAAACTTGATGCTGATTCGCTGTTCGGTTTTTACATTAGACATTTTTCTTGCAGAATGTGCATATTCACTCAATGACGCAGTACTCCCCACTGGCGTGGTTGATTAAGACGAAACTGGCCGCATGGATAGAGGAGGTGTGTGGCATGATGTCACCTAAACAGTTCCTGCCAACTCCACTCTGTTTTCAAGCTACACATCTAGTCTTATTTTTGTGTCACACCTTGTATATTTGTAAAGAGCTTCTCGTAACTGTAATTAATATTGCATTGTGAGTTCTAGCGTGGAGAGTCTCGAGAGTTCCGAGAATGACCAAGCAGAGTCGGGAGCTGTACTCTGGTGCTTTGCAGTGAAGCTGCCTCCACCGTGATAGACTGATAACTTGAAGGCTGTATCGCTGATCGTGTCAGCGTGTTTATAGTAGATCTTCGACGACTGTAAAACGTGACTTTGGAGCTGTCCTGATCAGCATTGGCTAAATAAAGTGTGTTTCGATACTTCATCAAATGTAGTCGTTATTCACTCCAAATGCATGAACTTGAAGGAAGAAACTAACATAACAACTGGTGTCAGAAAAGAAAAGAACGCAACAACATGCTTTGAATTCAATAATGCAGTAAGTATCACACAACCTGAAAAATGTACCCAATCATTATAAGGAGTCAGATGCTCTACTTACTGCCACTCAACACAGTAGTGACAACTGCATTAACAAAATAAACTATCATGAAATCTTCCGAGAGTGCAAGAGACATAACTCCACGCTAGGATCCGGAGATTTTAGCATTCTGCACTGTGTGTGTCGTCAAAGTCTCTTGATTTCAGGAGGGCTGACGAACCAATGATTTTGTTTTTCCTCTGATATCGTTCCAGATATAAAGAATCAGAGGATGTAAAATACAATGGAAAAATTAAGGAGGCATGGCAAATCAGTCTGAAGATTTTTTTCCATTGGAACAAGACACAAAAGGCTCCTGAACTTTCGACTAGACAGACCTAGAATGCTCTTGAGCTCCCAACTAGAAAGACCCTCGTTAGCAGGCTCCTCATACTACTAGGACTATAATTCATTTCAATAACTGTCTACACTATCCATGAATTATATATATATTTGTAAAGAGCTCCTTGTAAATGTACAGGTGCGGTGAGATAGCTTCCTCGCAAAGCAGTTTTAGGGTTGCCATAAAATGGCAAGGAGGGTAGGGTTGCTACATTTGTTGATATGCCATGGACGGATGGAGAACCCTCTCGAACAAATTCTTACTGGTTTAGCCCAGAATGTTCTCAAACACAAGCCGAAAGCTATATAAACCCTACTGGTCCACAGTCAGAGAGAGTTTGCCTCATTGAGAGGGCGAGTGTGTGTGCCTCACATAGAGTGCAAGAGAGTTAGTATTGAGTTGGTGTCTCGTCTAGCGAGTCAATCACTTTGACAGCTGGGCAGCGAGTGCCGAGTGGGTCATTGAGTGCACCGAAAGAGTCTCGAAGTGTATCGCGGTTAGTGCATTTTCGAGAGAGCATGTTGAGCTCCAGGAACGACTGAACCGAAGAGCCAGGAGTTGTGCTCTGCGTGTCATAGAGTGCATCACGAATTGTAGAGTGGAGAGTCTTGAGAGTACGTGGAGTTCCGAGAACGACCAAACAGAGTTAGGAGCTGTACTCTGGTGCTTTGCAGTGAAGATGTCTCCACCGTGATAGCCTGATAACCTGAAGGCTGTGTCTCTGATCGTGTCAGCATCTTTATAGTAGATCTTTGACGACTGTAAAACATGAGCTGTCCTGATCAGTATTGGCTAAATAAAGTGTGTTTCGATACTTCATCAAGTGTCATCGTTATTCACTCCAAATCTATGAACCCCATACGAATGTGAAGGAAGAAAATAACGTAAAAACTGGTGTTAGAAAAGGAAAAAATGTAAAAACTGGTGTCAGAAGTGAGATTTGAGGGTGAATGCCTGTGACAAGACTAATGGAAGACCTATTAAGACAGCTCGTGACTGCCTTTGCAGAAT